GGAAAAAGGATTAAGGGTATCAAGAGGGAAACTGTAATTTTTAGAACCAGAGGTAAAATATTTTAGACATTTAATAAAAGAGTAGCTGGAAACTCAACCACCAGAGAATTGCAGGAATTTTATCTCTTCCCCCTCCCTCTTCAAAGAGGGCAATCAGAAAACTACTCAGATTATTAGAATATTGCAGATTATGGATTGATGGGTACACACGAGTAATAAAATTTTTTATATAGAAAATTAACTAAGGAAAATGATGTTAAATTAGAAGAGTTGAAGTTAAAACTAGCCGAAGTACCAGCTTTAAGCTTACCCTTGTTAGAAAAACCCTTTTCATTTGTACATAAATGTAGAAAATGGAGTAGCTCACAGAATTTTAATTCAGGAGTGGGGAGGAGTAAAGAGACTAGTAGCTTATTTATCAAAGATATTAGACCCAGTAAGCCACAGCTGGCCAGTATCTATATCAGCTACTGCAATCCTAGTAAAAGAAAGTTGTAAGCTTACTTTTGGATATAAACTAGTTGTGTGAACACTTCATACAGTCCGAGGTGTGTTGAATCAAAGAAAAGAGAAAAAGATAAGGAAAAGAAAAAGAAAGTAAGAAGAGAAGAAAGAGAGAAGTTGAAAAAGGGGGCTGGTTAGCAGACTCTGGGATGTTGGAATGTGGAGTGATGATGTCTTGGTGCTGGAGGAAAACAAGAGTGGTGAATGCAGTTTCTGCATGAAGGGCAGGGAAGTGTCTTAACACATGGTTTTTAGGAGGTTGTTTGATGCCGAACTGCGGTCCGGAAAAGGTTTAGCAGAACAGGCCCTCCTTGAAGAGAAAAGAGGATAAGTTGACTAAGGAAAAAAGAATGTCAGAAGCACCTGGGTACGCCAAATTTGGGGTTGTCAAGGTTGGGAGGTGTTTGACCACTCCGTATGAGCGGTGGGGTCTCAGGGGCTGCAGCAGAGACTGATTCATGGAGGTGACCCAGTGGCAGTGCTGGGAGCAGATTACATAGGTTTGCTAGCCAGGAGCAGGCTGGCTCAGTGGCAGAACTGCCAGGGTGGCTCCCAGGCTATCGTGGTCCTGAGTTCAGGATGGCAGTGTCAGCCCGGGCAAGTGGGTTGAGAGAGAGAGAGAGAAAGAGAGACAGGGGGTGAAAGGGACCCAAGGCATGCCCCCAGGGTCCCCATGCCCATGGCTGTAAGTAAGGGGTTTTTTGGTTTTGTTTGCTGTTAAAAAGAAGAAGGTTTTGTTCTGAAAAATGTGTCTGTAAGGCTAAAATAATTAAATGTTGCCCAAAAAGTAAAAAGCAATAGATGTGATTCATCTTGTGTTAAAATTGGCCTGGCCTTTCTTGTTTAATTAATTGTAGCTGACAGAAAGAAGAATTTGCCTCTGCAGCTATTAGCACAGCTAGATACAAGAAGAAGAGGCTGCTGTGGAGAAAGCTTTTAGCTAAACCCAGAAAGTTTTGAAGAAAGCTACTGGTAAAAGGTAATGCAGTATTGTCTTTCCTTTATCACTATGATATTAAGAAGTCCTTTCCAGGTACTACTGAAACAGCAATCCGAACCAGGGAAAGAGGGTGAATTCATGCCAGCAAAATCAAAGGACTTGTGAAGGAACCTGAGGAATGGATTATCACACCTAAACCGGGTGAGACCAAATTGACTTTCAAACGGGGACTGGGTGGTAATGGTTTGGGAAGACCCGAAATGATCCAAGGAATGTACAAAGAATAACACCTAATTAAGAAATAAGGCAAAGCTTACATCACTGGTTTCAAGCACTGCCTGAATAAAACATCTTGGGGAGAAATACTTCAGACAGAAGGATCAGGACTGTTTTGGTCAAAGAGTTCTTATATTCTGACCTTAGCCTGTGAATTGTACAGGGGAGAGGAGGAATTACCATTTCCATCAGTGCCATACCGTATACTTTATATGACTCATCCCAATACTGGACATGCCAGCTGGGTTATAAGTAAAGGTTTGAATTGTGGGAATAATTACTATTGTAGTTCACAAAATTTATGCTCTTTGTGGATAGGAATTATTAGTGCCTGTTGAATGGGAGATACCTGAGGAACGGTGGGAAACTACAGTTAAGAGGTGTCAAAAACTATTTGCCTGGAAATTAGCTAAGATAAAGTGACAAGGAAATAGAGGGCAAGACCAGATTGGCCTCTATATTCGCCACCAAGAAGATCAAATCCACCTACTGAGTGTTGCAACCTCACAGGCATGGGAGGTGGGAGTATAAGCCATACTGGACCTCTGTTACTCCTGTTTCTGTCACTCATTTGTTGTCTTTTCCCTTTCGGGATACCAGCAAGATCATGTCACAAATGCTACAGAAAGCATCACATGGAAAGAAACCAAAGTTCCTCTTTTATGACACACACTCATGTCAACAGCCACTGTTATAACCCATCCAAATTAAGAACCTGAAGGCAAAACTGAGAAAATTATTGGATTGCAAGAAACTTATGAAAAAGTGGTAATAGACAGGGAATTGAATGTCTAAAAGGAGAGAGATGGATTTGTTTTACATTTAATCTTAAAGATACAGTTCAGGATTTGGTAAAAAAAACAACTAATAAACAAAAAAGTAAAACCAGCACAGCAATCTAACTCTGTACTGACCCCAAATATGTTGAGTCGTATTACAAGACTCCAAGCAGTTATAGAAATGATAACAAATAAAGCTGCTCAGGCATTGGAATTATTATTGAATCAGCAAAGCTAAACAAAAACTGTAGTGTATCAGAATAGGTTGGCTTTGGACTATTTATTGGCTAACGAAGGGGGTGTTTGTGGAAAGTTTAATATATCAGATTGTTGAAAATTGATGACCACAGAAAAGTCATTCTAGAAAAAGCAAAAGAAATCAAAGAAAAAAAATTATATAAAATAACCCAGGTACCAGTACAATAATTAGGAAACAATATTAAAACCTACCTGGTAGGGTAATGTATTAGAAGAAATTAAGATTTTTCCTTTTATGTGTTACAACTGTTTTATCCCCTGTTATCCCCTGTTTTATTTTGCCAGCATAGTCCAGAAGATGCAAGTAGACAAGAAATATTGCTCAAGCCAAATGATTTACAAAGAATAAGAGGAGGGATTGTGAAAAATGCGTATTTTATTATTGGCTTTTCTCAAATATTAAAATGAATATTATATGCGTTATGTTAGAAAGGTATGCTGTATTAATTTCCTTTAAGTAGTGTGGTAAATATAGTTTAGGTTATAACATAATGTTAAAATAGGTAGTATGTATGTGAGATACTTTTTTTAAAGAAAGGACTTGTACTGAGATAGCAGCTACAGGACACCTAAATCTTTCAGAGAAGAAGAATTTATTGCTCTCTTATCAGAAGAAACTAACTTCTTCCCGCCTCGCTCAGGTCTGAAGATGCCATTAGGATTAAGAGGAAGAAGTTGACACTGACCAGACTGAATCCTTAGTGTGAATGGAATTTATGCATCATGTATGAGGTGTATGAATTTGCAACAGGCTATTGCTTTTAAGGGTTAATCCTCTGCTAACGTGTGTCCTTTTTCGGGCTTATTTTGCCCAGAAAAAGGCACTCGGACTGTCCATAACTCTGTTTTTTATTCTCTTGTATTGTCCTAATCACAATTGTTCAAATTTTTATTACTCTAATTATATTACTATTTTTATAACCATTTTATTACTATTAAACTTTTAGAATTTTAAAACAAGTGATGGGTGTTTTTCACAAAAGATAAGTGTTCTTACCAAAGGCGAATAGAAAAGAGAGCAGAGGGGGGAAAGAGACGGAGGGAGAAACAGAAGACAGGAACAGCTTTACCACTAGGACCCCAGGTGCCCTGTTGGCGTCAGCTTGGCAGATGGGGCGAGTGCTGCAAGCTGTGGTGAGCCTGCACTGCTCTTGTGACCAGCTGGGCACTATTTCCTAGCAGCAGCGGGCAGCCTGCCTCTGGTGTCGATGAATTACAGCTGCAGGCTAGCTGCTGCGGGCTGTTGCCGGGCAACATGGGAAACATGGCGGCAGCGATGGCTGTGGGGTGGGTACAGGCAGGGTGCAGGCAGCAGCTGTTCCACTGGGGAAACAGCGGAGCATTAGGTTGTCGTGGTGATGAACTGCCTCAGGGAAGCAGCAAAGCAGAGCAGATCGACAGGTGCGGAGAGGGAAGCAGGACTGCAGGGAGGAAAAGGCAGGGGGGAGGGGGACCAAGCTGGAAAAATATCCCCAGTTGTGGTGGAGTTAACTACTTTTATGTGCTAAGGCTCCTCCCATAGCCTGATTTCCTGGGCATTTTCTCCCAGGCATCCAGGAGTCTGTCCCCCTGGCAAAGGGGGAGGGGGTCACTCGCAGCCCAATCGTAAAAGCATTCTCTCCCTTGATTGGTGCCAGGTGAGGTCTCCCCTTAACATATGATACCTGTTAAGGCTCCCAGCACGTGCACAGCCCCTATAGTAATTTTTCACCTCATGTATAACATATGTTGAGGCATAAATAAAAATTGTGAGAAATGACCACTCACTTTTAAAATTTTAAAGGTTTATTAAACCTTAACAAAAATACAACAAAAGGACTAAATAAGGAAAAATTGCAACGCTGGGAGCTCCCCTGCCCCCCGTGACTACCAGCCACGTGGCTCGTCTTCAAAATGGATTCTCCCCCTTTTATATCTCTAGCCCCTCCTAGAGTCCTGTCAGTCAACACCTTCCTTGCTGTCCAGTGGTGGAGTTCACTTTCTTCTACCTTGATTGGAGGTCAGGTATTAATATAGTAACAAGTCAACCCTCCCAAATGCCTTGACTACCAAGGCGATCCCATGATAACAATGGGGGGGGAGGGAGGACATATTACAGTAACATACCTATACATCTACAAAACTTCTCTTAACATACATATAATGTTCACCCCTTAGTTGTGAGAGCCAACCATCTCATTACTCATCTATAACAAAAATCAAATCAGTCCCTCTCAGCATAGTGTTGCATGCACAGCACTCACCCTCCTCTGTCTTTTTGAGGCAACAGGTGTTTGGAGTTGTTTTGCAGCTTCTTGTGAAATTGGGTGAAATCTAGTTTTTCAGGCTGCAAGTCCCATGTCGCACCACTAGGAAAGAAAAACGGGAAAAAACAAAGAAAGAAAGTTCACTACTAACTAAACACTACTGAGCTGAAGAGCAGAGGGCACATAGGAGCCTACAGGCAAGGAAAGCTGGTATTTCACAAAGCACCACTCCCTGCTGCAGAACGCATGAATGGAGGCCTCTAACCTTCATACTTCTGTTCATACTTCTGTCTCCTTTCTTTTAATTTTTTTCCCTTTTTTTTTTTTTTTTTTGAGATGCTGAGCTCCTGTTGCTTGATTTAAACCCCTAGTTTTGTAAAATGATGCAGCGTGATCCAGCACGCACCTTGCAAGCTATACTTGCTCTCTATATAAAGGGGGTATTGCAACAGGTAGTGGTCTGGTCCATGCAATGGAGATATTCTCTCTGGTCCTGCACAACCTGGGCCAATGGCCTGGAGGAAGTGCTAGGTGGGAACTCAACCCCCACAGATTCTTGCAGTGCTCCAGGCACAGAGAGAGATATGCATAAAACTGGACAGAAAACATATCTCACTGCTTTCTCCATGTTGAAGCATGAATTGAAGAGCTCTTTCCAGTAGCTGCAAAGCCAACACATAATCACACCTCCATTTAATAGAAGTGTAAAAACCTGGAGCAGTAGCTCAAAACTGCCTCAAGTCTTGCCTGTGCAGCTCTTGGATGATTACAAGTAATTGAATCAGTATCACTTTCAGATGTTTGGACTGCAAATCCATTCAGAAGCTTCTCCAAAGCACATAGGACACTTTAAGTAGATTGACTGTGCTTAGTGCTGCAGGTTAAATTGGGATGGAGGGGAGGAGGAGCAGTGATGCAAGTACTGGCAGAGTACTCACTGGTGCTTGGGTACTAGCAGGGTGGATATGCAGGCAAAGGCTGAGACGCCACAGTCCATCTCTCTCTTAAAGCATTTTAAAACTGACTTACCTGAAGGAGTCAAAGGTGTTGGCAGCCCAGATGTCCGTGCCCAGCATGTCAAGGGAGCTGTCCTTGTTGCCATTCTAGGAGGGAGGGAAAGGCAGTTACTCGCCAGAAGGCACAAAGTGCTATCCAAACCACAACACTGCCTGGCACAGCCTCTCCCACTGCCAGCTGTTTAAGTGTTCCAGCTCTGCATATGGGCTCCTCCGCTCCTATATGAATCCATGCTTACTGCAATGCAGAGTCCCCTTGCCCACTGCAAAAGTGCACCAATGAAGGCAAGAAGTGAGAGTTACAGCCTTGAGGACACAAGGCTGCGGACAACACGGAGCAGATAATTTATAGGCTCAGCTCTGACTTCTGCCCCTCTATCCATAACCTTCAAACCCACTAAGGTCCAGTGGGTGCAGTGCCATTCCAGTCATAAAGACACAGCTTCAGAGTCACAGACCCATTGAGGTGGGAAGGAACCTCTGAAGCTCATTTTGTCCAGCCCTCTTGCTCAAGCAGGATCACCTAATATAGAATAGTTTGGGTTGGAAGGGACCTTTAAAGGTCACCTAGTCAAATCAGGTGCCTAAGACCACATCCATATGGCTTTTGAATATCTCTAAGGATGGAGATACTCTTTCCCAGCAGCTATCAGAGCCTGTTGTCGCCAATAAGGATGGGGAAAGTCATCCTGTTTCTTCAAGGAGTTATGGTGTCATGACTTCTCCTTGCTCTAAAAACAGGCAGGGAACATTGGAACCATGCACTGTGCCACCCCTGCCATGCACACTAGCATAATATATGGTAGGGATAATTCATGCTATTAATGTATGGTTTAAAAATATTGTGAAATCCAAACCATGTCTTTTGGCCACCCCGGCCGGGAGCAGCTGTCTTATTCAGATTCAACTAGTTCCCGGACCTTGTTAAGATAACAATCACGGCCGAAACATAAGAATAGAAGCTTCCAGGACGATGATTGTCGGTTTCCCGAGTTGTCCGGAGCCACCGGAAGCGATTATCGCCTTGCCTTATCGCCTTGCCGATTGCATCTATCAAGATAGTCAGCGAGCCACCCTGATACATCTGAATACACGGCTCCTCCGGAGCCAATTGACACCAATGGCACACCTGGACGAGGCTTTTGTCCACCTCTGCACATGGAAAGCAACAGTGATGCATGTGAAGAGACACAAAGAAAATTCGGTCATCTTTGCCTCGGGCAGAATAAACTGTATAAAACCTCGCTGCGCAAAGCTGCGAGAGCGTGAACTGGGGTGACTGACACTCGGGAGGTCAGATCTGCGTTCACCCGGCGCCGATCCCGGGCTCGACGCTGTCTCTTTGGCTGTGGTGGTTTCGAAGACCCAACTTCAGTCTTGCAGACAAATTAATAAATCTTTTAGAATTTTTTTATAATTTTGGCTCACGATTTGATCATTTATAACACTAGCAAATGGGTTCACATGGTTATTCTGGTACACATTCTACCAACACTAAGGTGAAGATCTTACACTCATCCTTCAAGGCCTCTTTACAGTCATCAGCCCTCACATATCCTCCCTGCAGAAAGAGGGCTGCCCTCTCTACCCTTTACAGGGGAAGAAGTAAAGTGGATCGGATTTTACAATTCAAGACCATTCAAGAAATCAAACAACTCAGATTTAAATAGGATAGAAATGTAAATGCATCACAAATAGGGAATCCCATATTATCAATTCCCCCCTGCCCATTTCTTATGTATTTTCAGATTATTCATCTTGAACATATTCAGATTATTGAAGTATTTCAGCACAAATAGTCCCACTCTGGTGAAACATGCAGGTGAAGGTGGCTTCCATATACTCCCCATTGTATAATTTCTATAATTTTAAAATATTATTATTAATAATAACCAAGGTACTAAAAACTCAAAAATGCGACTGTTTCTTAATGAAGTCCCAGACCTCAATCTCCCTATAAAGTGAGGAATCTTTTCCCAATGAGCAGGATGCACATCCTCAGTGCACATCACAGATAGTTTCACTTCACAGCCATTCCCAGTACAATCAATTTAGACACCAGATACTCCAAACAAAGCCATATTGCTCCCCTTTTTTTGGTCTCCTCAAAGGGGTTTATGGACTATGACTTTAACCTCCAGGCATCTGCAGGTTAACATGTCTTCATCAAGAAACAAAACACGAGAAATATATGAAATTCTCATGATCGATGATGGAAAGCAATCTTTTTATTTTAGGCAAATATGATTTTCTCCCACCAAGAAGATAAATTAGTTTTCTAAATCCATAGAAACATCCTCATGCAGTATAATGAAAATACACATGGGCAGGTCTTCTTAGCCATCCTGCAGACAAATACATTTCTCTTTCCACTTCATAGAATCATAGAATCATTAAGATTAGAAAAGGCCTCTAAGATCATTGAATCCAACCATTAACCCAGCACTGCTAAGTCCACCACTAAACCATGCCCCTAAATGTTTCCTATGGACATGGAATATTTGAAGTTACAATGAGGCTGAAATAAACAAAGCCTGATAAACAATACTGGCAAACTGTTAACAACAGATGAGGAGAAGACTGAGGTACTCAACAACTTTTTTGCCTCAGTCTTCAATTGCAGCCACTCTTCCCACACCTCTCAAGTGGATTGACCGAAAAATGGGGACTGGAGGAAGAAAGTGCTTCCCACTGTAATTGAAGATCAGGTTGTGAGAGACTGAAATGTTGATGGCTAATTGTAGAGAGCTTTTTGGAGAATTGGTTAGCTGAGAAAGGACATTCTGATGTGATACCGATGGATAAGGGTAAGAGAAACAAGCTGGGAACTGAGCAACCGATGCCCAATTACTGACGAAGGTCACAGTGACCTTCTCTAAAACGGGAAGACGGGGGAGAAAATTGCTTGCCAGAAAATGTAGTTATCCCAAGGTAGAGAAATTAGAAGAATGTACACATAGAAGCAAAATAATTGTTAAGAGATAGAAGTAGGTGTGTTTGATTATAGTGTGCTTTAACCAATAATGAGCTCAGATTTTGCAATATGCATAAGCTTCATTAACACTAATATAAAAATGTGTAAGCTTTCAATAAACTTCGAGATTTGCTATTCATCGCATGTGGTGTGTTGCATCTCTCCCGCCGTTACGACAGCTAATGACTCAAAACAATCAGCCCTTTGTAGAGGCAGCAGGGTGCTTTTCTGAGGCTAGGTTTGCACTCCCTTAGGGGAAGGAGGTGTGTTTGGATGTGTGGTGGCACAGCCTCTGGTCTGCATAAAACAGAGAGGAACACCTACCATGGAAGCTACAAACTAGATGAGGCAGACCCTGCAGAGATAGGATGGTGTTTTTTACCATGACAACTGTCCTCCCTTACAAAAACTGGCTAAATTGTAAAATCCCCCCCAGCCCCTGGGGAAGGTCACATTCACATGGGACATTTAAACATAGGCCTAAGGGTATTCATCCCTTCTGATGGGGCAGAACTGCACAGAGGTGAGAGGCAGCTGTCATGCCTTAGAAGGTGTCATAATGTGGATGTGACAAGTTGGTCAGAGAGCCAAACAGATAGGTTTCCCAGGCATTGTTCTGGGAAAGCTGTGAGAACTATGAGAAAGAATTAAAACAATTCTTATCTCAGTCTGTGCACCTACTGTTTGCGAACATGTGGAATGCGTGTATGTGATGTTTATGGAAAGAGATGTACAAGAAGGTGTTGTTCCTAATCAACCTATGGTGTGAAAGGTGTTGTTTTAAGGACCAACCAGGTTCTGGGTGAACGATCCTGCTTCTAAATATGGGGAGTTTGTAATAAAGCTTGCTTAATGCCTTCTGAAGAGACCTAGGGTGTATGTGTTGCTCATTCTGCTGTCTGTAACTCAACGATGACATCATAAACCATCAAAGGCTCCCAAAGTGTGTCCAGACTCATTTCTGAGGCCTTTCACCAGAGGACTTGTCTCGGTTTGAGACAAGTTAGGAGGAAACATCCTGAAATGAACGTGTCCTCTAAAGAAAGCAGGTTTGGGCACTGCGTCACCCCACCAAATGAAAGTAATTTCTTGGAGGAAAGTGAAAAAAACCTGTTTATTTAACACACACAGAGTGCACACAGGCATGGGAAAAAAAGAATAATGTTAATTATTAAAACCTTCTCACTGTGGAGAAAGCTGGTGGATTCAGAGTTCTTTCTGTAGGTGTGGCTTAGCTCTTCCTGAGGTCCAGAGCCAGGATGTGACATCCCGACATCCCAGGGCCTCCCCACTGGCTCCCGGCTATGGTCTGTTCTTGGACCAGAGCAAAGCTGAACAGGTCCAGAAGAAGCCACAGAAGTCAACAAAGAAGCTGTATGAAGTCCTGGGAAAACTTCTTGCCTCAGCTAACAAAAAAGAAGCTAGCTAAAAGCAAAGTGATTAACTCTCCTGAGACATAAACTTTAAGAAATTTAGGGATTTTAGAGGATCTGAGGTTTTAGTTAAAGATAAGCTTTATTGGAGTTAATCAAAATAAATGGGTAGGCCTTGATGAAGTTAAGAGTTAGTAGTTAACTAATAATTGATTGCTTGTCAACATAATGTTTGGTTAGCTGGGTTTATAATGAAGAATATAGAAACTGATAAATAATAGCTTTTAGGAACATAAGACAATTGTAGGCCTCCTCTGTTCTGAAACCAATTGAAGACGGGGAATGGGAGTTCTACCACGGGTTCATTTGTCATATTTGCATTGCAAAGGTAGAAAGGTCAGAACGAGGAAGACTTCATTTACTTCCTCATTTTGGGACCCCTCCCTATGAAAGGGACCACCGACCCATTTCAAGGAACAAACTAAGCATGCCTAATAGCTTTTGAACTAATTACCATACCAAGCGGGGAATGGGATGTACCAAAGTTATGAATATATGCATTTGTATTTTGGGTATTCAATACTTGTATAGATAAAAGGACTCTGTAATCACCTGCAAATTGCGGTGTGTATTTGGGAGCTATCCCGCACGCTGCCCAGTGTCACAATAAACATACACTTTCTAACTTTAAACTGTTAAAACTGTTAGAGAGTCTTTGTCTGCCACAGTTGGATATCAGT